TTTTTGCAACCTCCACAAACAATAATTTACCATGACGATGATAAATTAAAATACAAAAACTACCGAAAACACACTGACTCACGGCCGCTCTCACTGAATACCAGTCTACTCTGCACTGAGCCGAGGCTGAGGCTCCCTAGCGTGACGTAAAATGACGCGATTTTGAAAAAAAAAAAAGCCGTTTTTACGAGCAGTCCATGAAACGCTCACTTTATCTTCTAAATTAGTGCCCTTATGTCGTTTTAAAACATTTTAAATCCTGCATTAACTTTTCATATGGTATTTTCATACATGGTTATATATTAATTTAGATTTTTTTTTTTACCTGCAATATGCTCTTTAAATGTTTCCCGGCTTGACTGTTAAAAGCAGACGATTGGCTTTCCAGTGGGAGGGGCGGTATATGTGGATACAACCGCCATCTTTGGCGTTACGGGTTTTCCCTATATAGTTGTATTAAGGATTGATGAAGTGGCATGTCTCTATATAAATAGTCTCTGCTATATCTCAACATGCCATTTAATAATAATATTATTATTAAATATAAAAATGACTAAATAAATCAATAAGACATATTACTAAAAATAATACTATTGTATACAAGTATTTCATAATTTATATTGCAACTGTAAAATTACAAAAAATTACAATACTAATATTTATGGAAGTTCAAACGTTCAACCATCTAACTTTTATTTTGATGAAAATCACAGGAAGCCCTTAAAACTTTGGCAAAGTTCCCCTGTAGTCAATCATTTTATCCCTTAAAACTCATTTGATCATCAAAATTACATAATTAAAAAAAAAAATCCTGGGAAAAACCTTGTAACGTCTTAAAATAGCTTGAATGTAACGTTAACAACAAAGTAACGTTTCATTTACTCCCAGAAAGCCATTCAATGATCATAAACTTGATAGTTAGCAAGAAAAATTAACTCTAGAGGAGCATTTTTCAAAAAATACATGTAAAATATATATATTTTTTAAATGTAGAAAGTATTTTAGCTAGGGATGCACGATATTGGATTTTGGCCGATATTCGATATGCAGACATTTTCAAACTAATTTTGCCCGATGCCGATACCAATACCGATGTATTTGTTTGTTTTTTTAAAGTGCAAAAAAAGCTTATTAAAGCTTCTATTGAAGTTCTCAGTCAAGAGCAGTGAGTGATTTCCTCTTTGTGTTTTGTTGTTTAATTAACATTAAAGGGACAGTTCTCCCCAAAATTTTAATTGTCATCATTTACTCTCTCAAGTTGTTTTAAACCCAAATAAATTTCTTTCTTCTGTTGAAAATAAAATGTATTTGGAAGAATGTGGCTAACCAAACAGTTGCTGTACTCCAGTGTCTTCCATAGTATATTTAAGCACAAAAAATAAATTAATACAGGTTTGGAACAACATTAGAGTGAGTAAATAATGACAGAATTTGTATTTCTGGGTGCAGTATCTCTTTAAAGACAAGCGGCAGCATATTATTACTGTCTCTTTAAGAGCTGCACCTGACGCGTCTAATATACACGCATTTGACAAGCAGATTTTCTCTGTTTGCTTTCACTTTAGACATAAGCATATTTGTTTATGTAAACCTTGTGTGTATTTGACAGTATTAGCGCAGTAAGACAGGGTTCCTGCACACTTTTGAAAGTCAAATTTAAGGCTTTTTAAGACCTTTTTAAGACCTGAAGAAATCAAAATTAATACCGTACATTAGGGCTGTGCAGTATTGACAAAAATATATCTTGATATTTTCAACGTTTTGTTGATAATTAGATGATATTTTACTGATTGTGTTTTTGTGCTGGTGCCATGGCTGGTTTAGGTCTGTTGTTGACAGCTGACTCACGAAGATATTCATATTTTTCATATTCTATGCAGTGGTCAGTTCACAGCAGTGACAGAAATTAATATTTTAATTAAGGGGCAATATTTGCCACCTTAAATTGATTTTTTCAGGGGCATTTTCACCTATATATGGACATTTTTTCTAAACTTATTTAGAGTTATGCATCACCTTTAATGTCAAATACTATCATTCAAATTAAATTATACAGTAATTATACAATAATACTTAATTATATAATAATCATACAGTACCACTGTTACCTGTCAAATTAAATCATTCAATCAAAATCCATCTTTGCAGTGCAGAGGTGACAGAAGCGGCATCAGAAGTGGCATTAATTTATTTACACTCCATTTACAACTGCATAAATAAAGCTATGAGATATATATTTTTAAATCAATATTCAATATTTAAATATGAAATGATTTCTAATTTTAACATTTTATTTAAAGGGTACTTTAAATATGAAACCGCAGCGGCAAATCACTGTCTTAATAAGTGAGTTGAGGGAGTCATTCATTCAACCGATTCGTTCAAACGGCTGATTCATTCAGGAAAGAAGCAAGTGATTCGTTCAAAACACGGATTTCAGTCAAGAAATAATCGCTGTCGGTTGCATTGAGACTCTGCTACGGTTTCATTTAGAAATTATAGTCGGCGAAATAAAGGGAAAACAAACAATATTGACAATATTGTGTCTAAAAAGTAACTCAATGTTAACTTATTGTTAATTTAACTGTTGTATAACATAAATATCACACTTGGAATCGTGCACGGGAAAACGGCACTCTTTCTGATGTGATATTCTAATATAAGAACATAATATGATATAAATATAAGACAAAAACTAACTTGGGGACATAACAGTTACACTGCACACATCACGCAGTGAAAGCACGAGAGATAAATGCGATGTCAGCTCGCAGTGCCTCGTACATTGTTAAAACAATGATTACAATATCATAAAAGACAATACACATCGCACACCATACGCACATAAAGATTGAACTTACAACTGAACTGACATTTACGACCTTTCTTCTCCTTCTCTCCTCTCGCGGGCAGGAGACAGTTATGCTGCCGCGACTCGCGAGTGACGCGAAATGTCACGTGAACTAGCAAATCCACAAAGATAGAATAATAAATAAATAAAAATACGTACGCTAATTAGATGGTTTTAATTTGGAAAGCTTTTAGATATGTCTAAGTCAAAGTGTCATCTAAAATTTAAGACCTTTCATAAGTAAAAATAAGACTTTATAAGACTTTTTATGGCCTTAAATTTTAAAAATCTAATTTAAGACTTTTTAAGGATCCGCGGGAACCCTGTAAGACTCGAAAGATAACTTATGTCCAGTATGCAGGCGCTGTGACAGGCTTTTAGTTCCTGTGAGCGTCAGGTGTACGCGCTCAGAAGAGCGCATGTTAGAACAGCGCATCAGCACGTGAATGACATGTTTAACTAGCAAGACTTTGACGCACATGCAAATAATGAACTTTTGTGAATTGCAGTGTCCCGTGAGTGTAACTCTACCTTTGACATTCAGTACGCGTTTACATGTGATGTGATGTGAATGTACGTCGCGTTGTACAGTATGTTGAGATGAAGGCGCCAGAATTGAACTGATAGAATGCACGATACTATGATTTTTTCTTCAAAACCAGATCGTGGAGACATTTTAATCGTCCACGTTAAAAAACAGTGATTATCGCACACCCCTAGTTGGAAGTTTAAGTTGCTCATGCTTCGTCCACGGTCATCACGTGCGCATAGGAAACACGCCACCCTATCGGCAAGGCTCATCGGCAGTAATATTCATATCTGTCGATGCTGATGATGGTCATTTTAAGCTTTTATCGGCCGATACCGATGTTGTCCCGATATCATCGTGCATCCCTAATTTTAGCCTAATTGTTTGCCTTTTCCGTTTCAAATAATATAAAAGCAAACGCTTTACTTTTTCACATACCATTTACTTTCTTAGTTTACCAGTTCTGTCTAACAAAGTATTAGATATGACTGACAGAGATTGTAAACTAATGAAGACGGAGAATGTGAGTGAGCGCTGTGTGATCAACGCTGCCGTTCTCTGCTCAGACGCTGGTGTTCTCAACGTCTCCCGTCAAAATAAAAGTACCGCTTCCAACACATCGGCCAATCAGAAAAACTAATCGGCCAATGCCGATATTTAAAAAAATGGCAAATATCAGCCGATATATCGGTCGACCACTAATGATAAAAACTGCATTATATGCAACTGTATACAAATCAGTTGCTAATTTTGACCTTTAATATTATAGTACTGTACCAGCAGACTGGGGGTTTCGCTGAATTAGTTGACATTGTTTTTCAGTATACATGTACTAAACCTGATATGCAAATTAATTCATATTGAATCAAATTGAAACTATATCAGAATCTAATCGCAGGGTTATGAATAGAAATAGATTAGCGAAACTTGTGTCAATGTTCCGCCCTAATAAAACAAAGTACCAGTCATTGTAGCAGTTGGGCTATTGATGACTTCTGAGAAGGACAGAAAACCTGAAAGAGATTGGTCCAGACAGTTGGCTCGAAGTTCATTAAAAAACACTAGCCAGGTTTCCATCCAAGGATTTGCGCATCAAAATGTTTACAGATATAGCTGATGGAAATGCCATTTAATATGTAAAGTTATCTATAAGTAAGTCATTTCCAGGCTAATACCCCCAGAGATTATAAACACTGAGGCGCTATCAAAACATTGCTCGGTTTAAGCATTTTTATGTTTAAAGATCAATCACGACTTAATCTATCATAACCCCAGAGAAGACTGCACATTAACTGCAGGAGCAGTCGTAATAATGGCCGAGCAGTCAGCGGGGGGTGAGCAACATAACTACATTACTGTCAGTGTCATTACAGCTCAAATTCAAAATCCATGGCCCTTCCACCCTCTGCATTCCCTACACTTCCGCTAATGTACACAAACCAGAAAACAACAAATCAAACGCCTTCATTTCTTTACATAGATGGCATTTACTTTGGGGAAATGGGCAAAACATCCTTCTGATTCGAAATGAAATGAGTGTGTACACCACGCTCCAAAACACATACTGGCATCAACAAACCATCAGCTGAATGATGGAAAAGATTATGCTATGAAACGCACCTTTTTGGGTCCACTGAAGATCTTCCTGCTGCCCTCCTTGGCTTTCTCCTGAGCTTTGACCTGAGGTTTCCTCACTGTTTCAAACGGGAAGGGGACCTCTGGGAACTCCAGAGGATCTATAAAACCACAAGCAAACATCAGCCATGTGCCTGCTAAATACGTAAAAGAGCATAAAACATAAAGGCACAATAAAAGAGCAAAATAACAATGAAAAAAAAAGCCACACAAACCTGTGTAAATGTCGATGTCTGAATCATAGATAGATATATGATATGATATAAATATATGATGTATACATATCTCATAAAATAACACCTATTTTTGGACCATTATGATTTTTATATTGATTTTGATGTTTTACTTTAAACAATACTATAATACATAAGATTTATTATCATATGTTAATGTATAAATTAGTTAAAATGTATGCATTTTTGTATGCGCTTAACTGTCAGTAAATAATGTCACAATGCAAGAAAAAAAAAAACATAATAGCCCTTAAAAACAGGCTTCATTTTCTGTATGCAGAAGTACTTAATTTTGCATTGAAATGGAATCTAGATCTGTCCTTGATGACATTGTGATATTGAGGAGTGTCTGTGCAGATTTGCTATGCACTCATGCAGGTAATGCGATGTAAACAAAGCCCAAAGTTAGATCCCCAGAAAGAGTGTTGAGTGTAAATACTGACCATCTTTAAGGCAGTGACTGTCATCTGCAGTGTGACTGCTCTGAGAGTCCTGCATCTCCATGGGCTGAGGACTGTCAACATCTGTCTCTATAGACGCCAGTGGCACTGCTACAGCTGCCGCAGCCTTCCTCTTGGCTTTCCTTCTTTCAGAGGATCCCTCGTCTTCCTCACTGTCACTATCACTGAGTTCATCAAAGCCAAAGTATTTGATCCTGTAGTTAGAGCTTCCTGAAGCAGGGTCGTCATCCTCAACCACAGCATCAGCATCATCAAACCCAAAGAGCTCCAGCTTACTGCTCTTCATCTTGCTCTGTGTGGGTTTGGAACGACTAAAAACCCAGACAAACAGTCAAAATCTCACACATGTAGGCTTCAAATCTAACATGAAAGAATGAGGCCAAGTGAGAGCAACCAAATGAATTATGAATTTAACAGAATTATATGGCATCTTTCAGGGTTTTTTCACATTTTGCTTCATCTATGTACATACTTGAAGTTGATATCTCCAAATTAGGTCTGGTAAATCCAAAACTTTGCAATGCTCATGCAAGCATTCTCAAATTATTTGATTGTATTTGTTACTTAGGGCTGTCACAATTAAAGTACCTGATTTTTTTTTTTTTTTTTTATCTTTCAAAAAAACGTTTCTCAGAGTGATCAAAGCAACCAAAACTAGATGACATCAAATATTATTTTTTTTTATGTCTGGAGTTGGATGGAGTTAATGTTCATTTCTATTTTATTTTAAGGCGCCGACATTCACACGGCAAAGTATTTTTTTTTTCTTTTTTTCTTCTTTGCTTAGTGCAGGGCTCTAGACTGTGACTAAATGGTTGCATTTTGCAACCCCTTTTCCTCCCGGTGCGACTGAATTATGGCAAGAGGTCGCATTGGTGCCACTACCAATTTGACCAACTAGTAATCGCTGGCATTTCTGTTGCGTATGAGAAACATTAAATGGCAAACGAGCCAAAAGCAGAATGAAACCGTGCTACTTGTTTGAACCACCCCACAGAAACCATTTATCAGCTCAGCCCAAAAGAGAGCACAGCGTGAGCTTAGAGCAAATGCATTCACTCGCTGATGGGTAAACAGCGCCGTAAGATCCAGTGAGAAGTGTTTGAGTTTGGTGTGGAGTATAGCATAGGTCTATGTGGTGGTTTTAATATACTTTAAGACAAACCATGTGCAAATTCATTAGTCAACACCATTGCTGATGTTTTCTCCTTGAAACTGCAGTTTAACAAAGACTTGAAATCGCCCTCGTTCCCTACGTCACAAATATGTTGTAACCAATCCTGTCAACGTGTAGGGCTGGCTTTAGCATATCATTAACTATATGCGGCAAAGCAGGGGGGTCTCAAGAGAAGCCAGTTTATACTGCTATATTCTTCTGTTGATATGAAACTCCCACCGAGGCGGGAACTAATTTCATATGCACGACTCCGCATATACTAAATAAAGCAAGGGTGTAGAGTTTCATTCAAGCTATTTCAAGGCGTGAAGAAACTATTTTCACAGGAATTTCAGGAGCTAATTTGCAAGGGTGTAGAGTTTCATTCAAGCTATTTTGAGTCATGAAGAAATTATTTTCACAGGAATTGTTTTTTTTTTTAAATATGTCATTTTGATTATCAAAGATTAGTTTTAAGGTTTACAATTATTGACTACAGTGGGACATTAAGTGAAAGTGGTTTAGGTTGGAGATTTGGATTAATAGTAAATATTACATATATATATATATATATATATAGCTCGTATCGCCTCAAAAAGAGGCTCAAATGAAGAAAAAAAAAGACAGACACTACAGATTAAGACCATTGTCCAAAAAAATTATGAAGTACAGCTCAAAACAAATTTAGTACTAAGAATTTCATGTAATTACAGTAATGTTCTTACACTTAACTATTACCTGAGAGGTTTGATTTCTATCTCGGTTTTCTTCTTCAGTCTTCCTGCATCTCCTGGAGTAGCCGCTGGGGCGCTGGCCATGTACTCCTCCATACTGCGGTCCATGGAGTCCTGGAAGGTGACGTTAAACATGGAAACACAAGACGGGTGCAGCACTGTGTAGTCTCTCGTCCGACCTCTACTCGTCGTTTTACCAGCATTTTCGGCCCCGCTGTTCTGCAACGTTTCCATGGAGCTATGACTGGAAGCACTTCCACTCCCATCAGCTCCACCAGGCTGTTTGCCTTTACTGGGTCTGCAATACGTTCTGCAGTTGGACGCCCTGAGAACAGACTGAGAGTGGTCCTCGCTTTCAGATGGCTCAACAGGAACATTAAAGTTCCCTTGGGCAAACTCTTCTAACCGAGTCTCAGTGGAGGATGTGCCCTGAATGTTGCTGCGACTGTAACTACTAGATGCCCACAAGGTAGATGGAGGGTTTTTATGTCCGGTAAAGAGGGATGTGGAGCGTGCCCCCAGTCCGACCACAGCGCTCCAGGCATCATAAGAATCCTTGTCATCTGTTTTTTCAGACTTTAACGTGGTGGTCTGAGCATAAGGTCTCGTGTCGCTTTCAGAAGGGTTTTTGTACCATGAATAGCTGTGGTGGTCAGTGCTCTCAGTGGACCAATTCGGGGTCTTCCCTACAGAAAAACAAAATCAGCAGTAAAAACATCAGTCAGACATAACAGAACTCTGACTTCAGCTAAGTACTTGACCAGACATGTTCCTAAATAACCATTAAATAGCCATTAACATGAGGAATATGTAACTGTTAGATATAGGACTAAATTCTAAAGCTCTGTGCTACATTATTTGTTTGTTTCTCTCGCAAAAATTACTATATTAAGGATGCACGGTAATGGTTATTCATGACTATTTTGCTCAAATTATAAATCGCAAATAACCATGATTGTTCTCATTTGAGAAATGTCTTTACATTTCACCCAAATTTTGGCATAAGAAAGAGCATTAATTCAGTTACCACAAAGGCTAACAATTAGAGCCACAACTAAAACAGCAAACAGCACAAGTGGCCTCATGAAGGAACTAGGGATGCACCAATAAAAAAAATTTCAGAACCGATCCCAAAAATTCTGAGTATCGACCGATACTGATACGATACCAACGCAGTTTTTTTAAAATCAAGTAGAATGTCTATAACTCTGTGTGTTGAACTGATAATCACTCTTTTGTGTGTTAAACACAATCTACTAAATACAGACTTCATTATAAAGAAAAACAACAAATAAAAAAAATATGATCATAATCTATGACAAAAATGCAATTATAAACAAGATTAGCAGACAAATCAGAAGTAAAATTTACTCTAGAAAAATCACGAGTGTACAATCATTTTATAAAATCTGAACATTAAGTGAAAAAAACATTATTTAGTGGGGAACAAATAAGACACAATAAGTGTGGTACTAAATCTGGTAAAATGTTACTCATTGCTCTTTGTATTGTTGTAAAATACATTCGTGAAAAACAAGATAAAAAAAATCAAAAAGATCAAAAGTATTTTAGGCTATATACTATTAAGACATTTTTTAAATGTATAGCACAGCTGTTTAATGAGACAGCAACATATGATAGATCGGACAGAACAAGAAAGGCTATTAATAATCTTTCATTGCTAAAGTATTATGATATGAAAGGCTCCAATATTATATTATTATATATTATACAGTATCTATCTGCAATATAGTTTATTCAGGCTTTTTCTTTTAACAGTATTAAATTTCAGTTACTGTCTGGCCTCGTCTAACCGATACCCGACCCGGCAAAGAATGGCAGTATCAGAGCCGATATCGATACCAAGTATCGGATCGGTGCATCACTAGAAGGAACATAGACTGCCTGTATTACGCTTTTTATTTGAGCGTAAAATTGCAATGGAGATTGCTTAACTCCAATATACATGTTTTCAGTTCTCTCAGATCATAATTTTTTTTTACAATGCAGAGAAAGCATGTGCGCATAGTTGCCAGGTTGGAAAGATTAAGTAAAACACTGAGCGGAAAATGTATCCATTTACAGGATCCCAAATTGCAAACATCTTTCCTGCTGATGCGACTCAATTTTGTTAAAGGTCACACTGGTGCCACCACCACTTTTGCAAAATGATTAAAGATTAAAAAGACGTGAAATTACCACTATAAGTAGATGGTGGCAGAGGAGCACTTATTGATTTTCCCACTCCCTAATATATGGAGAAAAGTAGGAAGTCACAAAGTTTTTGCACATTACTGTTGTTAATAAAAGTCAACAATTACTGTCAAATTTCCAGTAAACAAACATGTAATATTATTAGTAACTGCACCTATTAATACAAAACAATAGTAATGTTACGATTAAAAGAACTTTGATTAATAATCCCCCCCGCGCTACCAAATCAGGTGCTGGCGCCATCATCTATATAGAACTTAGTGAAACCAAAACTACTGCTCTCAAATGTTAGTCTGAAGTAGAGCTGCACGATTCTGGATAAGCTGAGAACCACAATTTTTGTTTGTGGGTTTTTTTCACAGAGATCACGATTCTCCCAGCATTCTGAACAGATAACTACACAAAATAACATGTAATTTACAATAGGTTCTGACAAAATGTTAATTGCAGTCCATTTAAAATGTTCAATTAATTTGAATGAATCATTAAAAAAATCGGTTTGAATGAATGATTCAATGACTCACTCATAAATACGTCACTTGTTTCATTACTGGATGAATCAACCTTTTTAAACGAATCTCTTGACTGAATGATCAAATACATTTTTTAACAGTCACTTGTAGCCACCTAGCTGTTTCATACCAACACATGACAACTGCTCTCTCAGGCTCAGCAGCGGCACAAACACAGATAAGAATGTTTTGGTGTGTTTTTGTCAAAGGTTTAGTAGACACAGGTGAATCGGTGTCATTTAGGAATGAGATCACGTGGGTGTTTGAATCGAGATTGCGATCTTTTAACGATTAATCATGCAGCTCTAGTCTGGATCCCTGATTTAAAGGTGAACTATGCAGGTTTTTTACCTCAACCGAACAGTTTCGGAGTCATTGGAATGGTTATATTACTCTTTTCGGGTTGAATGGTGGTCGTTTCACACCCCCCTATCGCATGTGAGCGGAAAAAAACATACTTGCAACTTTGAGCGGGCAGGCCGCCGGCCGCAGCATCAGGAAGTGTCGCGTGATATCAGGTCTCGCGATGTAACAAATTGCTTTACGGCAAAAAAGATCTGATAAAATCTGATAAAATAAGCATCCAACAGAAATAACCCGGCGCCGTATACATGTGGTGTTCGAGGCGCACATACAATACAGACTGCCGACAGTTAAACAGGGCGCGCGCAGCTCTTAAAGGGGCCACACCTTATTTCAACTCGTTACAGCTTCCATCCTACTGAACAGGTACCGGTGTACAGGGGGAGTAGCCTGGTTAAAACCAGACCATTCTCAGTTGTAACTGAGTTATGGTCTGGCAAAGCGTCATAAACAAATCATTTCCAGAGGGGCGTCACCAACGGACGTCGCGGATAGACCTAAAACCAATCAGAGCGATGAAGGAGATGACGTATGCAGAGCGGCGGATAAACATCTCCGAGTTGTTCTTTGCTCGGTTTTTAACTAAAAGGAAACGTTCAAATCGCTTAAAACAGACGCGATAGCTGATTCGAACGAGTGATGTTCGACGGCGGCATCCATCTTTGTAATGTAGGCTACAAAATCTGCTTCAAAATCCCAGCGCTGTCGTCATCGTGTAAAGCCCACCCCAACGTTTCTGATTGGTGCCGCGATTTCGACGGATTGGAAATGGGCTTGAATGAGCTCTTTGCCAGACTAACTTTCAGAGCAAATCTAAATTTGTCGGAAGTTGTCTGGGTTTTCCCAGGCTACAGGGGGAGGGGATCAGGCCGTGAGTGCAGAGCCATATACGCGTGAGTGCTATTTACGACAGTACAAGTACTCCACAGCGACTCTAGGGGTCACTGTTTGACAAAAACGGAATTCCTGCATAGTGCAGTCCCTCCAGAAAAACGCGATTATGCGATCGCTGAATTCAATGCAAAATCAGCCAAAGTCCGCATATTTATGCGGGGGTCGCATTTTTTCAAATACTCCGCAATTTAGCCGCATAAATGGCTGATTTCCGCGCAAAATATGCGGGGCTTGCATGATTTCATAATCCCCGCATTTTCGTCGCAAAAAAGTCACATATGTCTTAGCAGAAAGTTGGAAAATGTTGCGTTTGCTTCACACAAGAGCAGCCACTTCCCCCTGTTGCCATGGGAACGTTATGAAGTGAAGTAATTACGCGACGTGAACATCATTGAAAAGCTGTAAAACAGGAGCACACTTTATTTTAAAATATTTCATTTATTCATTTTTACTGAAGTTGTAGCATATTCCTCTAGTAAAGCTACAGAACTTGTTTGACTCATCAATGTTTTGTAAGTTTGATGTGTTTATTAAGGTCTTGTAACGCGTTGTGTCGGGAAGAAAAATAGGGAGAGCTCACAGCTGAAGTTATTGCAGAGGCCAGACAGACGCACGGAGGTTATTGGCATCTCACAACTCGCACTTTATTCCCAAATCGAACTCGTAACTGTCTGTCACACGTTCTACCGTCCACGTCGTTACTTAATAAACAAAATAAGATAAAAGAAGTAGCATCAAACAGAAATTACCCGCACACATGGGGTGTTCGAGGCGCATGGCACATACAATATAATACTGCAGACAGTTAGACAGGGAGCGCGCAACTCTTAAAGGGGCCACACCTTATTTCCACTCGATACAGTCTGAAATAAAACAAGATGAGAAATTAAATATTTCCAGAACTTTCTGTGATGTAGTATGTTTGCTTATCATAGGAAGTAATAAGAAAGGACTCTTTACATTAAGGTAGTAGCCTAGTGAGAACAGGGTGTTGGGGGATCACTTTTTTTCCCTCTTTTTCATCAAACCGCAGTTTTTGCAAGTTCCCGCAATTTTGCAAGTTTCCGCAATTTTTGCAAGTTCCCGCAATTTCATTGCAAAAAATTGCATAAATATCCCGCATATTCCATCGCATTTTTAAAGAAAACGGGCCGCGTAATCAAGGATTTTTGCCCGCAACAATCACAAAAAAACTCCGCGTTTTTCTGGAAGGACTGATAGTGCACCTTTAACCCAAACACTTTGTGGAGGCTTGTTGCCAAAGCAAGATAACAAACATATCAAATGAAGAAAAACTTTTCAGGATACCAGTGGGCCAATATCACAGATGACCATTTTCATTATGTAGAATAAAATAGCCTACTCTTTCTAGACCATTAAAGTGACTGGATCTTATGCGAGTGTATGACTTTTTAAACAGATGACAAAAGTACAAATTTCTTTATGCTTAAACTAGTGCACCTTTAAGTTCTGAAGACCATCTGAGTCCATCAATTTTCTCTGATCCCATGACTAGTCAAACACAGGCCAGGAGACACACAGCTAGACATCTTTAAAGCAATAATCACACCTTTGCAGTCATAACATCTGTGCAATGGTCTGCCAGAAAACACTCAGTTTACCATTCTTACATTACTGTATTCATCATTATACCTATACCTACAATTATGTCTATGTACTATGAGTTAGGAGACAGGACAAAA